CCCCTCCCTACATCCCACTCCCCTACTTCCTACAAAGCTGGAGATGACGTTCAGCGTGACATGGTATCTGCTAAGAACAGCCTGGAGTCATGTGCTTTCAACATGAACTCAGCTTTGGAGGATGAAAAGCTTGCTGGCACGATCAATGATGACGACAAGCAGAGGATTTTCTTGCTCAGACCATCTCCATCTGCAAACTCAACCTTCATTTTCATCTCAGCTAACACCTGTAATGTTTTGCAGCTGCATCTTGTAAGACTGTGATGCTATCACATTTACATAATAATCATAAGCGGCTGGTAATTATATCACTAATGTGATCAGGCCTGTCATGATATTATCACCATGATCATTGTTAGTATTATACTGCACTTATCTTACCTCCTGCATGCAGCATGCAGGTTCATTACAGCAAATGACATAAGTGTTGCTAATTTATAGGGCAGGGACATTATGCTTATATCCTGGTTTGATACAATCATAATACTTGGGGTCTAAATAGATATTCATTGGAATATTTAAGTATTGCAGTTGTACAAGTTGCAATTTGATATTATGATTTATTGTGACTTTGTTCACTTTTTTAACATTATACCAAGGGAAAAAGTTCATTATACACTTCAAGAGACTGTAAATCATGAGACATCCAAAAACAATGCACATCACATGTTTTTAAGTATTTGTCTGCCTTTTTCTGCTTTTTTCCTTTCTCTTCCGGAAATAGATTTGACATCACGTTTCTCAGAGATTACAACAATAAAAGCGGTAACTTCATTCCGCCTCCGCATAGACTAATATGAAGTAATTAAATTTGAATTATACTGATTTAGGCATGAAAATGAAAGAATGAAAGAAACGAGATATTTAGGTGTAGGATGGTAAAAGTGCAAAGGTGTAGATGTATAGTTAAAAGCATTTGCACTCAATTAAAACAAGATCAGTCCTAAGGCATTTAAACAGCCATAAAGGTGGCAGAGTGTCCAAGTTTAAGGTGCTTTGCGGATGAATCCATGTATAAAGAGCACTGTGAGTGAATGACATTCTTCCTAGCACAGTTCTGACTAAGAGAGTGTGAAGCAACAACCTATTCCGTGAGCGAGTACCAAAATTATTTGAGGTCAGACTTAAACGGGATGAAATATTAGGGGGAAACGTCTGCATCAAAGCTTTAGAAATGAACAAATACCAATGCTGTTCCCGCAGATGTGGCCAGCCAACCTTTTGGCAAAGGTGGCAGTGATGGGTGCTGTAAGAATCACCTGCTTGAGGGCTGAGTGGTAGACAGCATTCAGTGATTTCAGTGTAGAGACAGCAGCTTTTAGCGTATGAAACACCCTCATAATCCAAAACAGACAAAAGATAAAATTCTACAATTGTATTTCTATGTACAAAAGGGAAACAGTTCTTATTTGTGTACAGAAAGCCAAGTATTGTCCTCAATTTGGCAGTCAGAATTTCAATATAGTGCTTAAAATTAAGACTGTCTTCCAGCCAGGTACCAAGGTTTTTATACTGCTGGACTCTCTCTATGGATGTTCCCTTTGCAGAATGAATATTGATTGATTCAGAATGAGTAGCCATATAAAAGTGAACTGACAAGAGCACAAAAGTTGGAAACTCAATGAAAATCTTCAAAGTATCATATTGAAGGTTATTACTTAAGCTGACTCACTTACTTGGGGAATTCAAATGAGGAGATTTGCTATTCTCGCCACCAGCTTGTTCGTATCTAAACCTTATGTGTCACCGAGACCCAGTCTCCCTCCGAAGTAGTCGAAATCCGGTGCTTGGACAGTGACTTGAGGCATCAGAAACCAACGAAAAAAGGGCGTCCTTTAATAACAGCATGATGAAATGAAATGAAATGAACAGCACCTGGCGGCACCACGGGGTAAGTTAAGGTGGCAAAGGTCCAACTGGGGCAGCAGGAGGGGTGGTGGATGGGTCCAACAAGTGCTCTCTTATTACCCCTATACTGAAATCCCTTCATTCACTTCCTGTTGAGTTTAAAATGCAGTTCAAAATTCTGATTCCTAGGTACAGAGCATTACATGGTCAGGCTGTAGCTGAACTACCTCACCCGTATTCTTCAGCTGAAGACTCACCTATTCAGACAGTCGTTTGGGTAACTTGTATGTACCAGAGCTGTGTATTTTCAAAGTCTGTGTATTGTTGTTGTGTAGTGTGAATTCCTATTTTTTGTTGTGTGTGTGCGCAAATAGTTTTGCTAGTTGTGCACTTTTCATGATGTGGCTTATGTAGTCACTTAGTCTCTACGATTTATTTATTTCTTGCACTTTGTGACCTATGTCTGCAAAAAGCGCTTTACAGATAAATTTTACTTACTCATTTACCAACTGTATAACTTACTTATGTATGTATAGTGTGTAACTGCTTCACCCACTTCACATACAGGTGAATTAGTTAAACAGTACTGAATACAAGAGTCCTGGTGGCACATAAGGGTTAGATACGAGCAAGTTGGTGGTGAGGAATAGCAAAACTCCTCATCTGAATTCCTCCAGTAAGCCAGTCAGCCTTAGTAATAACCTTCAATATGATACTTTGGAGATTTTCATTGAGTTTCCAACTTTTGTGCTCTTGTCAGTTCACTTTTATATGGCTACTCATATTGAATCTTTCAATATTCATTCTGCAAATGGCACATCCATAGAGAGAATCCAACAGTAGAAATACCTTGGTACCTGGCTGGATGACAATCTTAATTTGAAGCACCATATTGGTATTCTGACTGCCAAACTGAAGACAATACTTGGCTTTCTGTACACAAATAAGAACTGTTTCCCTTTTGTACATAACAATACAACTGTAGACTCTGTATTTTTGTTTCTGCATGCTGTCTACCGCTAGTACAAATTTATTTGCTTGGCTATCTGTTTGGATTGTAAAGCAACTGCAGGTTTGTTTGCCACTTCATGTTAGAACATGCAGTCCCAGACACTGGAGTCAGCTCAAGTCAAGTTCTTCCAATTTGCTTGTACTGTGATTCTGATTGTATGACTATCAAATTTGAATTGTATAATTTACTGTAATTAGTTACTCAAGGAGCAAATTTTTCACTTGACCAGAAAACTCAAGTTGGTTCATCAGTTCATTTATCTTGTAATTTATCTTTTGTTGTATCAAGATGGTTACAGTACATCAAGTGACCGGCGAGGACACCAAAACAAAAGTGTTTTGTGGTGTAGAGGAAGCCATTTTAATAGATTTTTAGAGGTGCATAGCAGCAAGAAAATAACAAAGGATACAATTTGCAAAGACATTTTTCTGGCCCAGAATGAAAAGGGAATGTGAATGTGCAAGGTTATATTCAGCAAACAATCCTAAAACAAAATTACTGTTATCTGTGTTACTTTATTCTTCCTGCTGAAGAATTTTGATTCCATGCTTCCATGCATTATGCTTTTGTTGGAGAGCTTTTCAGTCACACAGACTGAAAGTTTACAGTCATCATTGTGCACATGAGTGATGACATTTTGTTTGCACTTTTCATGATGTGGCACCTCAGATGAACCGACTGTGTCAGACTTGCTGGGGCTTTGACATCTTTACCCTTTTAGTTCAATACCAGTTCACAGCTCTGTCATACAGCTCTGGACGGTCAAAATACGGTGTATTGAAATCAAAAGAAACATGACATAATGTTGTGAAACACACACAGACATAAAACTGTAATTAAGCATCACACAAAATTAATGATTTTTTTTAATTATTTATTTTGAGACCCTAATAGCATGTTGTAAACTGGTTAACTTTCCACTTCAGAGTTAATTCTCAACAGGTTGTAAGGAACACCTCTGCTGAATAATGCATCCATAATATAACTTTATGTCTGAAAATGTAAAAATCAGATGGTTTGATCTGCACATATTTTGGGTGATTTTGGCTCAACAAATTGGATTTTCATACATTAACAATGATCCAGATGGCTAAGATGTTATTTGAACATATTATATTTGTTTGACTTTGACTCAAAAGAGTAAATTTGAAACCTGATATTAATTTTTCTGCATTTAAAAACCTAATTTTAAGCATAAGTACAAATGTCTGAAATGCTAAAAAAAACATATCAATAAAGAATATGCAAACCTTGCACATTTCAGACCATTAATATCAAGGAAAAATTACATCTGCTTAGTCCAATAAAACATTGATGACTCTAAATGTTCATAAACTTAAACTGTACTGAGAAACCAGTACAACATCTAGTTTCACCCGCCTTGTATGTTTGCCCATCTGTGCACACTTCAGCAAAGGGCATGCAGATGTGCAAAACCTTGTTTGAAAAATGTGTGAAAAGGTATCACAATTAGATGGTTGAATCCTGAACCTCCAACATACAACATGTGGATCAAAAAAAAAAAAAAGGGAACTGTATGAGATGGAACAAATCACATATGCATTGAGGTTGCAAAGACCTAAATTGATAAAGAGGTGGAGTCCTGTAATGAGTTTGTTAGTGCAGAATCCATAACCCTCTCCTATTCCCATCCCACTGCGATATTTTTAAGTTTACTTATGTTATTTACATTTCTTCTCTTATTCTCTTCTTACTTATAAGTGTACCGGTAGTCAGTTTGAATCTCAGTTAATTCCACTGCAAATAAAAATGTATTCTTTGCATAGGATGCTGACGCTGACATGAATGAAAAATAAATCAATAAATCTTTACGTTTAAGACACCCATTGTGTAGAAGGTCTGTGCCAAATTTTGCTTGTTTTGGGTTTTACAGCTTCAGCCGAACTTGAGTTAGATAGCGTCAGGTGCTGTTAGTAGTTATTCCTCATCCTCCTCTAATTATGTTTTGTAAAAGTAAAACATATGGTTTTAACATGAAGCCAGAAATGAGACACCTGCTCTTGTTTACTTCTCTGTGACTGCTCATTCAAGTGACAAACCAAAAAAATATCTTAGCTAATGGTTACTATCCAGACAGTTTTTAATGAAAATATAATGATGCTTTTTATTCTTTCAACAGCTGAGATTTACCCAAAGGTGTACCACACTTGCTTCTTCATCGTCACATACTTTGCACCATTATGTCTCATGGTCCTGGCGTATATCCAGATATGTCACAAGCTGTGGTGTCAACAGGTGTGTATTCCAGTGCTTTAAAGCTTTTACATCAGCTCTTACAAAGGCCATGTTTAAATGAATCTTCCTTTGACAAGCTTACAATGCCTGATACATGCACATACTTTATCAACAGATTCCTGGAAACACATCAGTGTTGCAGAGGAAGTGGAGGTCCATGCAGTGCTCAGCTCCAGCTGCGGGGTCAGGAGAGCCCATGAGGGTCAGGACCAGTACGGTGTGTGCTGAGATCAAACAGATGCGAGCCAGGCGCAAGACAGCTCGCATGCTGATGGTGGTCCTCTTTGTTTTCGCCCTGTGTTACCTGCCGATCAGCGTGCTCAATGTCATGAAAAGGTAAAAATACTTCGAATGGATCAAGGATCAAAAGCCATTCAAACACAGACGCTGCATATTTTGAATTTCTTCTTTACATTCGGAGCTCACCTTGGTAGTTTAAAATTCAATAATGGCTGACACAGTATATTTACAGTACTGAATTGCTGCTTGTTTTTTGCTATCTGGATTTAAACTACAATGACGCATTGTAAATCAATCTTTAACAGATGCATGTCATGCTTTCCCTGTAGAGTCTTTGGGACGTTCAAGAAGACAAATGACAGAGAGACAGTGTATGCATGGTTCACATTCTCACATTGGCTCATATATGCCAACAGTGCAGCAAATCCCATCATCTACAATTTCCTCAGCGGTAAGTTCGTAACCTGCTTCATCACTTAGACCTGTTGTGTGGGCTCATTACTGTCCTCTGGTGGACAGTGTGGCCACAACAATAAAGCTCGCTGGTTTCAGTTTCTCATCTGATATGTTGTGCCTATAAAGTTGTATTTTAAAGTTGTTTGAAGATGTTTTTCTATGGCCCTGATAATGACATCTGCATCTCATCTCTTTGTTCGTAATAAACAAGCCATGTGAAAGCTCCAAACTGAGTTGTTTTTCAGTGGGTTTCGTGTTTCTGTTTTCACCAGGGAAGTTTCGTGGGGAGTTCAAAGCAGCCTTCTCTTGCCATTGTTGTGGCCAAGGGGAGAATCAAACACAAAGAACGAGGCCCAGAGCGAGCACAGACAGCCGAAAGTCCCTGTCAACTCAAGTCAACAACATGGACAATGTGTCGCGCATATCAGATCAGATAGAGTAATCTTAAAATCCAAGTGGGGAGTTCTTTGACACACTCATCATCAAGTTTGACATTGAAATGTTCAAACCTCTGTTCCAGATGTTGGAACGGAGAAGAAGGTCTCGAAGTTATTGTTTTATGATTGGTTTTATGAGGACACGAGACACGAGAGAGCTGACCACTGAAGACCTTCTGACCTCGTTTACTAATCATGGACATAGACGGACACGGCAATCACCTGTAATTCACAGAAACTGTATATTTATTATCAAAGGACATCATTTGAATGTTGAGTATTTAATAACCTATACTGTCTGTTTTATATCATACATGGGTTATTATATTGTAAGTGTAATATTTTGATTTTTTATTTATTTATTTACGACAGAAGAGCAGTCTTCAGATTTGTAGTTTGTCTCCCTCTTTATCAGATGTCCATCCTGAGTCAGTCAGTCTTCAGTGCCGTTGCCCTTGAATGTATAACTCTGTGCATACACTGTCTGCAAATGTCCCAGTTCAAACATCACAAGTTTCCATCACACCTCAAAATATTCAACATGATACCTGCACGTACTGTATGTGTCCTGGTGGACTTCATTATATCTTTCTTCACTCTACACACACGCTGAGTTTCTTCTGAACAACATCAGAAAAGTGGACTTTAATGTAGCTGCACACTTGCCTACTATGTAAAGCACCAAAGCAAAACGGTCCACTCAAAGGGCGCGTTTCCTATTTGAAATGTGTCTGTCAGTCACTTTTACTGACAGCTTCAGAGCCCAGAGACGTGTCCTGTCAGAAAAACAGGGGATGCCGTGAGATCTATTTTTATATTGAAACCAAACTACATCTGCAGTTAAGAAAAGTCTTGATAAGTGCTCCAGAGATGTACATTGACAACAGTTTTGTCTCAAGCCCTCGTCAACTGTTTATTATTCCCAGTAAAAACCCTGCCTTGCAGCTGCAGAGCCATCAGCCTTATGAACTAAATGTATTTCTATTCAATTCAATATTGCAGGGATTATCTAAATAAATCAATATTAGGTCAGAAAAATAGTATGGCAATATATGGATTTATTGGCACAAATGATGAACTTTCCCAGTTTCTTAAATACTTTTATAATCTGCAGTGTGTACACTGTTTCCCTCGTACATTAACTGACTTTTACTGATACTCACTTTCTTTTGTGTGTGTGTGTGTTTTATCATGCCTGGAAGCCGCCCAGTACAACCACAGTATTATCTGCCACTGAGCAGCTTCATTAGAGCAGTTCTGGGCTAAGGGCCTTGCTCAAGGGCATCTCACTGGTGGTAATTAAGCAGTAAGAGGCGATGCTCTTTCACTGTCTAGAAAGTCATCCTGCTGGCCCAAGGACTGAATGGGCAACCACCCAGTGTCAAGGAGGGCAGTGAAACTCCACCACAGTTATTCCTATGCTGAGTTCTAGGCGTGCTGAGAGGATAAAAGCACAACATCCCCGTGATGAGGGATACTGCACATATTTTACTCTCATGAATATTCACAACCAGCACATAACTGTTTAAGTTTATGTGCAGATAATACACCTGCATATAGGTGCAATTTAGGCATAATAGCAAAGTGAAACAAAGTTACCCGTGCACAATTTATTTTGTTTGCACCCCCAGATGCTAAACCCCAGACTGATTCATTAGTAATATTGGCTGCATGGAGTGGGTGGTGTTTATGGAGGCAGAAGACACAAAAACAAAGAAAGAAAGAATATTAAAGCAGCTTCTGCACACCGATACATGAAAATTTAATAACAAAAACAAACTTTCTGCCTGGAGACCTTTTCATCAGGGCAAATCACTGAGACAATACTGTAGATGCATTGAATTCTAATGCGCCCGCTCACATGGGAAATATTGTTCAACATCATCCAGGGCACATCTGGTATCAAATGGTGGACTGTTTGACAGGGTTGTATTGATTCTTGGCTTGAATGTGAGATCTTTGTACATCAGAGATACGTCTTATTCAATCACAATTTATTTCATATGTACACTACCCTGGAACATGAACATGCTGTCCATAAAGTGACCTGCATGTGAGGGAAATATCTGAGATTTGTGCCCCCCAGTGGTCGTATGTAGATGACAGGGTGGCTAATAGAAATGAACTGGCATTTACTTCCCTTCCTTAGTCCATCGTTGTCCAGGCGAGAACAGTTTACAAAATCCTTTTCTCCTGTCTGTATGTCCACATGAAAGCACTTCATTACATTCTCTTTTATGCATACATATTTTTGTTTATATTAACTTTACATTTTTACACGTCTTTAAGCTTGTTCTCCTTAGTTATTTCAGTCTTTTTACTTCATGGTGCTGCAGTTTGATCATGACATAACATGACTTAGGTATTTTAAGACTCACTAAGTGTTTAGGGACAGTGATCCAAGTGAGTGTGTTTTGATATATTTCTTACAGAGCATACAAATTAGCATTTTTCTAGCATTTTTGATTTTTCCCACTTTAAATCAATTAACCGTTACTCTTCTTCATTTAAACTATCTTTGCCAAATTGTTAAACTTGAAGTTTTCAATCTCTGACACTCTAAAAACACACTTAAACTGAGAACCATGTGTGTAAAAGCATGTATAATTCAAAATGCATGTGCTTTAAAACAGCAGTGATTATGGTTTCTGAACATGAACATATCTACTCACAGTACTGTGATGCAGATGTAGCTTTTTTACAATGGAAACCCCAAAGCTCCAACAACAAATCAGCAACATTTGACTTTGTTTCCGATAAGCATTTCAGTATTATTTCACCTGTCTGTCAATGCTTTGTGATGATTTAGCATCTCTGTAACTGGACCCTCCTTGTGTCTCCATTTTCAAGAAAAATACTGTATAGTTTGTTATTTTTGTATCTTTACAAAAAAAATAAATACATTTGTGAATGTGTTTATATTTGTTGATGAATGCTAATTTAATTTAGTGTAGTCATGGCTGCTAATTAGTGACACTATGATATCACATGGCTTTTGGTTTTACAGGCTGTCGTCACATACAGTTGAAAAGACTTGAATATTTAAAATAGAAAAATGTACAATAAAAAATAGGGAAGTTATAAAACAATATGTGAAATGAATCAGTTTTTGAAATGAATTGATTGTGCAAAGTATTGACCGAGGAATGTGCAATGTGTTGAGTTTGTGTCCAGGGTAGGTCTTTTCAAATGAGATTAAGACATAAAGAGTCAGGATGTTATTAATATTTTTATATTATTTAATATTTTTGGGGTTATGTTTAATGCATGTATGTATGTATGTATTTACTTATTTATTTATTTTTTTTATTTTTAGAAACACTTTATAATGTGATTTGAGTGTCACCTATCAGAGCTTCACCTGGTTATCTCATGTGTCCTCAGCTTGACCTCTTCTGACTTTTTTAATTCCTTGTTTCTATGATGAGATTCCAAAGTGTATTATTTCATTGTTTATTCCTCACAGTGTGTGTAATTCTTCACATATTTTATCAATAAACTATATTGTACTACACAGCCTATTTCTGCTGTCTCTTATCTTTGGATCTGATCTCTTCTTAAAAATCAAATGTTCAGTAGAAATACACCATCAGTGCATCAGTGGCATACACGTTCATGGCAGTGGAGGCCCAGAGGTTAGATAAGATGTCTGTTTCACTAACTTACAGAATATGATTTAGGAAAATCGATAAAATGGAAGTGAGGTTTTTCTACCACCTAGACACCCTGAGGATGTTGACATTGTGTCCAAGTATTGTAATCACTGATGGTAACATCAAGTCCACTTTCTTTGGATTAAAAACAAAACAAAACAAAAAAAGCTTTATGTGTGGAAACCTGTACTTTTTTGGAGAATTGGGGGTACAAGCTGTTTAAGCTGATATGGTGAGCTTGTTAGCAAACAGTTGCCTCGATAAAACAACATCAGCACTGATTTAGAGTCATGTTTTTGGCAAATAAACAACAGTTTTTTGGTCTTGGGAAACAGCTGCATTCTGTGACTGGAAACAGGATGATAAGAAGTGTGAGAGTGAAACAAAACAGTGAGCTGAAACACAGTAATTGCTCTGCAGACCCTAGGGGAAGTGCCAGCACAGTCAGCAAAAGAAAATCTTGGCATTGTATGTTTGTGCACAGCAAGAATATGTCACATTTGCACGTTTAATATCATATCAAATTTCTAAAGTGACATAGTATATAAGCTGACTGATGATGATAAGCTTTATCATCATCACGAAGTGATCAATGATGTGACACCTTGGCAAGACAGCTGCCAAGGCTATAGACGACTGTAGACCACTGTTTTAAACCAACAAACAACAGAACAGGTTGTGATTTAGCGAGTAATTGCTGTGTTTCCGTCACCTTGATTGACACCAAACCAGCAGCTTTTTAGGCACAAAGTGCTTGATTTTTTTAATGAGACATTGCTGCTTTTCCTGCCAGGCTCATGCCCCCAAATTGGGTATTTTAAGCCAAAACATGATCTCCTGCTAACCATTACCAAGTGGGTTTTGTGCCTGAACCTATCCACACCACAGTGTTGTTAAAACATTACGTTTCAAAGTATCCGTTACAAAATAACGTGCAAATCTGATGCATTTGTGGTCCGCAGAAACAGACAGTGCCAACATTTTTTCTGGTGATTGTGTTGCCTATTAGTACCTCTCTACAAGCAGTCTCTTTCACATACAAGTGTTAATATGATTCACTGGTGATTAAAAAAAATCTCAAATATATCCACTTTAAATTATTGATGCAAAAAATACAGATGACAAATACAGACACAATTTTTATTTTGAGATATTACATCAGCACATCACAGGTCAAAAACTGGCTTCCATGCTCTGCTTACAATCCCCATCATCCGAATTATGTAGAAATATCATATTCCTTTATACAAAAACATTTTTTATCTCAAACATTCATCCAAATCTGGTAGTCAAATTTCTGCCAGTAAAAAATACAGTGATTGGACATTAGAAAAATAAGATCCTTAGATACACTCAGAAAGTTACACACTATCACATGCAATTCAAGAACAAAAGATTTGTTTTTGTTGTTCTCCTAACTCTGTTTTGTTCTTGAATTGCATGTGTCATTGCATTACATGGCACACGGTGCAGCTTCCAATAAATGTGTTACATCCTGTTGACTGTGGGAGGTGTTTTCCAGCTTAAGAGCCATCACCATGAGAGGCAGGGATCAGCTGCAGGAGAGCTTCA